TTTCGATCACCTACTCGATCATTGATTTATCGATAAAATGATCGATCATTCAATTTCCTGAAACTCCTGTTTTCACATAACGTGATCGATAATCAGTTTCTTTACCTTACAAGATTAAATCTCTGTTTTTCATTTTATCGATCACTGGATCGAATATTCATTATCGATCACCTGTTCGATTAATCCACAGTCTGTGTTTTTCGCTGAATATATTCTTACTCATTGTTTATCGATAAGGTTATCCATCATTCATTTATCGATAATGTGTTCGATCATCAATGACTAAAGTTTCATTTCTGTAACACTTGGATTATCGATAATCTGTTCGATCAACAAGTGTTCGATCACTTGTTCGATCTTGGAACGTTTTCCGTTTTAAATATCAGTCGACTATGATGATTCTTAAAATCAATGATCTATTTTCTTTAAAGCTTTTCTCAGCCTTCTTTTTACACATAACTCTCTATTAAAAGGATACGAAGGCAAACATAACTTGAAAAGGTTTATTCTTGGATAAATCATTTTGGGTCACTGTACTCATGTTTCATCATTTATCGATCATTTCTTCGATCATCACATGATCCATAACCTATTCGATAATTGCATATATCTACTATATCTTTTCCTCATATAATTAATCGATAATATGATCGATCAAAGGATTATCGATCAAGGCATCGATTAAGTAAGTTTATCTTACTTTCTGAATATCTGAAGATCTGATGATTGATTCCATGTTTTCCAACTTATTGTTTCTAAGATTATCAGATACTTATCACTTGATCTGAGGAAGATTATTTCAGGTAAAGAGCCACAACGAGTTTATGAGGTAAAGAATCGACTTTCGTCAGAAGCTTCCAACGGCTAGTTTCAACGGTCATATTCTTCAAGCCAAACGGGAAGAAAGTGCTCAACGGTCAAGTACCCAATATCATCTATAAATAGAAGAGCATTCAAAACAAGAAAGAAGAAGAGTCTAAGCTTACAACATCAAATGCTAAAATGCCGAATCAACATATTCTCATTTAGAGCTCCGAAAGAAAACTCCCTGTCTCTGTGCTCCATAGACGAAAACATATGTATCCGTAAGATAGAGAGGAGAGTTTCCCAAACGTGCTTAAGATTCAACTATCACTTCTTTGAGAGAAGAAATATTCAATCTTCATTATCATTATTAGATTGTATCCTTACCGTGAGTAAGGGGGAGTATTACCTCGGTGTGAGGTTGTTGTTGAATTAGACTGGTTAGTCTAAGAATTGTAAGTGGCGTCACAAGTGCCCGGATCAAACTTGTGATTGTAGTGGTTCTCAAGTACCCGTGTTAAACTTGAGGGAGATAGTCGATTGAAAATCTCAGGGGGAGCCTGGGGACTGGACGTAGGTCAGTGAGGACCGAACCAGGATAAATCACTGTTTGCATCTTCTCTTCCCTTACCTCTTTATATTTCCAGCTAAACCATTTTACTACTGTGATTATACTTATGTCGATACATTGTTTTTATACTCAGAATTTCTCATGAATTTCATTACATTGCGAAAAGGTTTTAATTTTAACTAACACCCAATTCACCCCCCCTCTTGGGTGTTCAACCATTCCAACATGTTTTTCCTTTCCTGGCCTTAAATGGCTATTAGTGTGTGTACCTATTTGCTTTGTTGATTAATAAAATTGACTTGCTTTTGGCCAAAAAAAAAAAAAAAAAGAATCAGATAAATTATTTGATTAATTAAATAACCAAATTCATGATTAAACGAGTTATATATATTGTTATTATTTTTTTTGGTAATATTAGAGTATATTAACTATTATCAACATGGTTTTTAAAGGATTTTTTTTATTATTCTAAACAGAAATACTTATATAAGCAAAATATTCAAATGATCAAACAAATGCCAACCGTCAAAATTGTTTGAGTAAAGCCACCGCCTTATAGCTTTTTTCCTTTTTACTTTGTTAAGTTAAAGGTTACATTTTCTATTTCGTTTGTAATCTTAGATCATTTTCACAGTTTTTATGGGGAATATTTAGACTAGTTTTTTAAAAATAATTTTACAAATTCTAAAATAAGTAAATGTGTGAAGACAAATTGTTCTGACTAGTGTGAAAATATTTTCTTAATTAATTTTTAGAGTTTCCAAACACCCAGTAATTGACAAAACAAAACCTGCTTCATTTCTGCCTGGTAGTAATAGCTCCAAAATCTCCACACAAAAAAATTTATCCGTATCGGTCAGAATTATTTTGTGCATAATAGTGCTCATCCGGTCCTTAATATAAAACCTATTTAACTAATTTGATTAAATTAAGAAAGTTAGGTATGTTAGTTAATTATAAAAAAAGTGACACATTTTTCCGAAAATACCATAATCATCTTTCTTAATACCCCATCTCCCTTTTCTACTTGATTATGGTTGAGGGAATATCCATAGGAGTAATTTAGAGAAAATTGATAAATATGAGAAATGAGTTTTATATTTAGGACGGAAACCAATTCAAAAATTGGATTCTATATTAAGAATTAGAGAAGTATTTGAAATGATGATGATAATGCTCCCCCTCGGATGAAAATAACCCTACGGTTTTTGTCCTTAACTAATGGACCAATTATTTGAAAGCCTGGCCAGTCCTCCTGCTTATCAAAGTCTTTCAGCCGCTCGCTTCATATGGTTCAATCGTATACATTGATTTTTATTTTTAAATAAAAATAATACTTCAATTAAATAGAAAGATACAGCCTAGTAATAGTGTGTCCTCATTTTTCTTTTTGAAATTTGGCCCATTTAATACTGTTTTTACTTTTTACCTGAAACTTAAAAATCAAATTCATCTAATCTTTACACTGTTTTTACCTTAAAAATAAAATCTGAAACTAAAACAGTGCCTGAGAATGGGTAAATTTTTCTAAGATAATCAAGCTCAAACTGAGAAAATTGATTCGTGAATGTGTAGAAATTTAATTTTGCGATATTAAAATATTGTTGAAAAATTCGTTTGGAATGCTATATGATTTGTGATTTATTATTCTGTGTGCTTTGTTTACTCAAGAAATTAAACTATTTTATTTTATTTTATTTTAAAGTCATTTAATATTTTTGTTTTATTTTTATATATATTTTGGAGCTACCTATACTTTTTTTCAATTTTCAATTTGATACCTAGTATTTTTTAATTAAATATTTAATTTTATACTACTAACATCATTAACCATTATATAGAGACTAAAAATGTTAATAAAATAAAGTTACAAGAGTTAATGTTGCTAAAAAAATAAAATTAAATGATTTAATTAAGAGAAAAAATACATAGGTGTCAAATTAAAAATTGAGAGAAAATATAGGTACCTTTAATATGGTTTTTCTTAAATGATATTATTTTTATTTCTAATATTGCACATATTAATATTAAAAAAAAAGTTTCAGTAGATTAAAATCCTCACTCAATTGTTAGATCCAATTGCTTGATTGCAATTTGAATCCAAAGAAAAGACAGACATTATGGCTTTGAAACAGAAGATTCTGTACTTCCTAATCTTTTTGAAGTGAACATTAGCATATTTTCTCAACGAAACAAATTGAATATCTCCTCCTTGCTTCACTTCAAATCTAAGAAAATAATGCAGCACACCTAAATAAAAAAACAAATGTACTGTATAGTCATGCAAGTGGCAGCCATCTATAAAATACATTTGTTTTTTTGCCATCATATCTATAAAATACATGAAAGCAAGGAATTACATTTTTGAACAATCTTTATATTAGTTTAATACTTTTTCTAATGCAAGTTGCTAATTTGGTCTGAATCTCATATGCTGGTGCAAGGACCAAACTTTTTTTTTTTAAAAAAAAAAAAGAAATTGAAGGCTATGAAGAACTACATAAAAAAGAGAAAATTAATATGTAAATTCTTATGATTTTACCTCATTTTTAATTAAGCTATTGTAATTTCTTTATTGGGTTTATATATTTTTATTAATTATAGGTATTTATATCTATACTTATAATTGGTTACTTTATAAACCTAAATTAATTTTGTCACGAAGATCTAAATAAAATAAAAATAAACTATATTACAAATTATATATAGATACAAGGAGACAATTATGAGCACAACAATTTTTTTATATATATATTTGTGTTAATAATAAATGAATTTATTTCAACATATCCTTTAAAAAACTCTTTTTGTATCTTCTGTTAACTTACATGTGGCTTAGTTAATATCTACATCAGCCCTAATTAATAGATTTTAATTTATAAAATTGTAGGGATTCCATAAAAAAAATTACAGGGGCTCATTAACATTTAGGTGAAATTATAAACATTAATGAGTTAATTTTCCCTATAAAAATTTAGTTCGAGTGATAATTAGTTTTTTTTTTTGGTTACAAGTTCAAGCAATAATTAGTTTGAAACTAATAACTTTGTCAACATACAAAAGCTCTTTGTATTGTAGAGATGATTAAAAAAAAAAAAAACAATACATGAGAGTTGAGACGTTTCACTTGTCAATTTGCAATTCTATTTGCTTCTCGAAATATGTCAATCTAAGTATGTGCAAAACCAAACTGCATAACCAAGTTCACTCGTAATTACTCAATGCAAGATCCCATCAAGGATTGTTCGTGAACGATACAAACTAAACTAGGACTCATTAGCTAGCTGATAATTAATACCTTGATGTCATTGCCTGATTACACCTAACAATAAGTGCAAGTTAGGCTCATAGGAGGTACTATAAGAGTTAGTTAACTAATTTGATTATATTAAAAAAATTAGTTAAGTTAATAATTTGTAATAAATAAATGTTATCTTTCTTAAAATACCCTTGCTAATCAAGTGTATTAGTTAAAACTACTATTTGATGAAACATCTAATATGTGCAGTTACTATAAAGATTATTTTGGAAAAAACGGATAAATATAACTGATAAAGTAGATTGGTGTCTTGCAACTAGGATTAAATTGAATATCAAACTAATTCTTACATTAAAAACAGGAGGTAAAAATGTTCTGTTTCTAATGTTCAGTGTCAAGAAGATGGACATGTGGATTTTTTTAATTCTAATCTATAACGAAAGAATCAGAAGAAAATAAAGTATATCATGCATATACCAATACATAATTAGTTGGAAAGCACGCTAAATAAATAATGTGAAAAAATGAAGCTAGCCTCAATCTAAAATATGCAGAAGTTAACAAGAAAAAGGGGGGGAAAAAAGAGAGAAGAGAATTAGCTTTATATTGGCATGCCTTGCCTGGTTGTAAGGTTGAAAAGAATGCGAAAAAAAGAGGCTTTGAAATTGCAGAACTGATGATAATGGAATGTCATGAGAAACTTCAATGCTTTTCACTATTTGAGTCTCTCCAATGCTGCCTCAGCTTCACTTAATTCCTGCTTTAGTGCTGAAATTCTACGCCGTAATCGTTCCACTTCATCTTTACTGACCAATGATTGATATGGTGATAAAAAATGGCTAGAAAATGATTTCAGAGCCGCAACCCCAGTAACCTATCAAATTCAAATTCACAGTAGCTATGAATCAAAATGCTGGGGGAAAATCAGCAGCAAATGATACAACAATAGTGGAATCGGTGATGTGGATTGTATAGCATCAATCCATAGCTTAATTGTGCTTTACCAATAAGCCTTATCTTGATAGCAGTGAATGATTATGGTATTCAATTTTTTGAAGTCACTCTACAGGGAAGATGCAGTATTCATTTAAAAAAAAAAAGGAGCAAAAAAGTAAACTACATTCAGATCCGTGGCACAAGATAGGAACAGGAAAAGCAATGTGAATGAGAAACCTCTTTCCCATACATATGGGAAGCCTTCTTCCTAATAAAATCACTTTGTCATATAACAACAACAACAAAACTTTATCTCACAAGGTGGGGTTGGCTATATAGATTGCATAACACTATTGAGTTCTATTTAAGGCCAAATCTTTAGATATATTGTTAATTAAAAGATCTTGCTCAATAAATTCATAAAATGTTCTCTTTGCCTCCCCCTACCATTTTTCAAGAAACTCCACGCTGTTTTATCAACTTTTCTCACTGACACATTTAAAAGCCTTCTTTGCATGTGACCAAACTGGCTTAAGTGGTTTTGTACCATTTTCTCATTGACAATAAGCACTTTAATTTTTCTACGGATATATTCATTAGGAATCCTATCTTTTTTGTATGACAACAGATCCATTTCACTTTATGTTCATGCTATCCTTTCAAAGACCAGCAATGCTATATAGCAAGTGTCTAAACATATTAGGTACTTTCTCATCACAAACAGCTCCTGTTGCTTTTCTCCATTTAAACTACTTAGCTTAAATTTTATGATTAACATTACCATCAGTTTTACCATCTTTTTGTATAATTAATCCCAAATATCTAAATCTTTTCACTTGCGGGTTCACTTTGCCATATACCGAACAGAATAAATTTAAGAATGCTTTTCTTTACATTTTTCATTTCTTCAAATAATTTTTGCATGAACCAAATGCACCCTTAATGGTGTTTTGGATGGTCGGGGACAAAATTAAGAAAAATTATAAGAAAGATACATTAAAATTTCTTTTAAAGGCCATAGAAATAAATTATTCTTGGTGTTTTCTAAAGTCATCACTCATGTTCTTTGAATCTTCAATCTAATCTTTTAGATGCTAAAAGAATGTTTTTTTTCCTCCTTTAAATATTTTTGTAAAAATCAAATTATTGGATCTTTTGGAGGCTTTTTTTTTTTTAACCATCAAAGCAAGGTAGGACCCACTTTAACACCCTTCTCTTTTTTCATGGTCATTTTATTTTCTCCCTCCACAGTGAAGAAGTGAAAAGCCGCTTCATTTTGGTCTGTGCTTTTAAGCAGTTGTTGCCCCAAAAGTCAAATGGGCCAAAAGCTGATCCAAACATACGTGAATGTACCACCACACATTTTCAGCTCTTCATCGCACGTTTTGGCATAAAACGTACGTCCAAACATGCACTTAAAGAGCATGAGTGATGGCTTTAATAGTCCATTTGGTACGAGAGAAATGAAGGGAAGGGGAAGAGAGGAAAAGCTTTAATAAGCTCAATTTAAAAATTTAAGTGGAGTGAAAAGGTTTCAATTAATTTTTCTTACTCTTTTAGCTTACAACTAGAAATTTCTCCTGTGCGATGCACAGATTAACCTATTTGATTATATTTAAAAGTTTAATAAATTGCATTATCTAAGATAGTTTAAAATTTACTTCTAATAGGAATATATTTTTTTATTCATTTTAATGGAATTTGAATTAGAGATACAGAATTTATGGCAAATATATGAAAATTTGAAATTAATTATTCATTTCTCTATTTAAGCCTCTTATTGACATGCTATTTAATTATGATACCCCCCATTTAATTTAATATATTCAAATTTCAATTAAGATATTATTCAAATTGAAAGTTAATTATTAATTTCTTCATTTGAATCTCTATTTGAAATTGCATTTATTTATAATATTTCATATTTAACTTAATATATTCAAATCTCAATTAAGATGTTATTTAAATCTCATTAATTAAAGATATTCGGATCATATAATCTCATATCCGATCCATTTGTAAACGAATCAGGTATTACAAGTTTTCAAGAATATAATTGATTGATTTCTCTTTATCAAAGTTTTATAACCTCATTTTTCCAATTTTTCAAATCGAGCTCATTAAAATTTTTCCTCCCCTCCCCTCCAATTTCCTCATACCAGACATAGGTTAGGAATCATAAGTGATTCTCCATGGTGAGGGGCAAAAGCAGCTTCATTTTGGCTTATGCTTTTAAACATCTTTTGTCCCAAAAGTTAAATGGGTCAAAAGCTGATTCAAACCTGTGTAAATGTACCACCACACATTTTCGGCCTTGCACTGCACGTTTTGGGATCAAAATGCAGATCCAAACATGCACTTAAAGAGCATGAGTGATGACTCTAAGAATCATAAATGATAACTTATTCTATGGTTCTCAGCAAATTCTGGTTTTTAAGCATTTTAACTGTCATCTTTTCAAGAAAACTATCCCTAGTGGCATCATTTGCCCACACATATCTTGTGATTTCTACCCCAGTAAACAATAACCTGCTCAACATTCCTCATAAATATTCACAAGATATTTTTCAGGTCACCATAATCATGACAGTTTGTTATTGTGCGTGGGTATCTTCTCTATAAATTTAAATACAGTGACTTACCTCTTCTGGGAGCAGTGGCAGTTTTGTGATGTTAAAGTCGTCATACAACATGTAAAACTGGTCTAGGTACTTCTGTTGCATCTTCATTCTTGCCTTAAGTAATTTGGATTCAATATCTATAAGGATAATCAGATGAACATGCAAAATAAATAAGCTACGACAATGGATAAACAAATACATTACATTAACAAAATGTATGGGAGGCTACCTTCATCATCAAAGATTACTTGGTTAATTATGATATTGTGTGTGTCAATCTCAAACTTTGTGAGTTCTTGAACCAATCTCTCTGTTTCATACAGAGAGAGGAACTCCGGAATGCAAACACAGACAAAAGTTGTCATGTCCTGTGAATAGAAAAATACAATAGAATTACATTTAATAAAGTGAAGGAAATCTGCAACTTAATTACCTAGACATTAGTTCAGCTCAAAAGGGTTAACGTTCAGGCACATTGTTGTACTTCATGTTGACCAAAGACGGCATGGTTTAAAACGATTGTGGAGGAATAGGAAAGAAACAAAGAAAATCACCTGGGATGATCATACGATGAAAATATAATGATAAATATAATTTTAACTACCAATGAAAAGGTTTCAAAATTTCATTTTAAATCCATCAGCCACCTCACTAATTAATTCAACAGACTTCCAGCTCGATTTTATTTGACAAGTCCCACCGAATAGAAAACAATAATAAAGATAAAAAATAAAGCAGAGAGGCAGGAACAATAACTTAAACAGGACAAACCATTCAAAAGCAAAGAGAAAAAGTCGATGAATAGTGTATAGATCCTTTAAAAGTTTGTCTATACTGAAGGCAATCAATATACACAAATAAAGCAAAAATTAGAAGGACATGACAAATACAATTAAGAAAAGTTCAGAGGGTGAGATTATTTTACTTGCAGTACTAATCAAAGGCAGATATAACATTGAAGGTTCTGATTGTTTTGGAATACTCCTTATCAATATTTGAAATACTATCCATAGATTCAAGATTTCCTTTAAAATTCCATTTGGGCAAACAAATATTATATATAAAGTGATCTCAGGAATTGAGGAAACTAAAAACATAGGAGAATGGAAAACTAGCCTAGATAACACATATTGCAATGACCAGTAATATCTGACCATTGAAAGTTGAAACTTACGCTTTTGCATTGAATGATACAAAAAATAATTTGTTTGTCAAGCAAGCCATATTCATGATATTCGGGTTTAACATCAGCAATGCATCAAACATAAGAGAAGACATTTGCAGTGTGTTAGTGTATTCTTGCTTCTCCAGAGGCTACTTTTGCAATTCTTAAGGATTGCAAGGTCAAATTCATTCATAAATATGCAAATGTACGTTAACATCTTTTGATCAATTTCTTCAGGAAAAGAAAGGCTTTTCCCAAAGTAAAGGCTCTTGTTTGGACTGCTACATTTAACAGAATTAATAAAAATGATCTGCTAAGGACTTGAACGTCCCGCAAACTATTTCAGCGGATTTCTGAGTGATGCATTGTCACAAGGTAAAGTCATCTTTTTTTCATATTTAGTGGCAGGGCAGGATTTTGGAGTATTTCTGGTCAGAACAAAAAGTGGAGGTTTTTAATCAGAAGTTCCTTCCTTCTTTCACATTTTCCAAAATTTTGATTGACAGTAGAAAAAATAACTTGTCGTTAATTTGGCTTTTGAAAAAGTTAGATTGGCTAATGTGGTTTATGTTGAATTGTCTTTTATAAATAAGTTTGTAAAAGTGAAGTTGTTTGGATTATTATTGAAAAAGTAAGTTTGGTTGTACAATGACTAAAAAAGAAGGCATGAATTTTATTAAATAATACATATAATTCATCATCTCTCATCTGCTATACTCTTTAGTTACATTTCCCCATATATTTTCGTTTATTTTTTTCTCATTTATTATAAGGGAACATTTGAAAGCGAGAATGACCAAAAAGGAAGTTGAAAATTACTAAATCCCAAATCAGGTTTAGTAACAACACTTTATTTGGTGTTGACAACATTGGATTTACAAATGACAACAAATTTTTGTTGATATTTCTTATTTGGCATTTACAACTTTGCAACTTCATTTTTTGTCATTTTTCCTATTTGAAATCAAAAGTATATTTATAATCTATTTATTACTTTCAATTAATTTTACCTAATTATTTGTTATCCACAAATTAGTTATTTGAAACTTATAATAAGAACTGGAAAGAGTAGTAAATTTCTTAAAGATGGGACCTGGCTCTTTTTTAAGTTTTTGTCTCTCCACTTTTCAAAAGCCAAAAGTCATGAGTACCAAATTTCTATTTAGAGCTTATTGTGGCTTTTTATACAAAAACCAAATTGCCCTATCATCAATCCAAACACCACAATTACAGCCCAATCGTGCTTAAACTCCACAAGCAGCTTAACAAGTTCACTATGGGTTTTGTGGGCTTCAGTAAAAGGAATTTTTTCGCTCTGGCTGGCAGATCCACAATGGATATACAAAGGGATTAGAAAACTCTTTTGTGTTTAAAAAGGAAGAGGATATCTTATCCTCTATATTTGTTTCATTCTTTCTGCTCATCAATCATACAATGTGATAAAAGGAAAAATAAGGATACACAAGACAATATAGAAAAGGATAAACAAGAACAAGTATCATTTTCAAAACAAAGTCTTACCGGATCCTTGAACTGCTTATTAACTTGTTCAATCACCTCCTTCATGCCTTCAAGCCTCACAAGAAGCGCATCATCACCAAAGTCATCCTCCACACCAAACATACGGGTCATCTGCAATAGACAATTGGGAAAGGGAAAAAAAAGCTTCCAACTGAGCCTGGTATTTAATAAATATGCCAAGTTGCCATCTGCTGATCAGCCTAGAGTTTGGAGTCTCATGTAGGATGGTCAATAATCCATAAAGTTACTCAGAATAAATCATTGCTGATGTGATGGGGAAAAGAGAAATGCGAATAGTATGCAGAGACTGAGCATGATACGCAGAAAAGAACTCAGCCATACCTTCTTCGATCAAGGTTAAGTAAATGAAGAAAGAAAACAAAACTCTTGAATGAAATATATAGTGAACTTAGACAAACATGAGACTGTTTCTATACTTTACAGGATAGCATATTACAAGACATGCCAGTGACTGCTCATAAATACAGAATAGTATTCCACTAATTATGTAATTGTAACCTACCTAATATGGAAATAAATACATTGCTAAACTTGTTAATACGCTAGCTGACTACTCTTCATATTTACATGCCAACAAAGATATAGTTAAATAGTTAAACAACATTGATTTTTGTTTTGAGGCATAACTTATGGTGAAAATTGAACCATCTTCACTTTTGAATAGACTATAATGCAAGAAAAGACAACCATCAATCTAAAGTTCACACCTGATTAATCAAACCGCCAAATTTACTTTTCAAGGACAATACTTTTGCAATACCCTTCTCCAAAACTGCTGGGAACTGCAAAAGTCTGAGTGTATGGCCGGTGGGTGCAGTATCAAATACTATAACAGAATAATCCATTGTTTGCACCAATCTGTAAAAGAACTATAATCAATCAAATCACAAGGAGGGACAAATGAAATGAACAAAATGATACGTGACTTTGGAAATAGAATCCAGAAACATTAAAGACTTGATATACTATAGTCACAAATATGCAGATTTCTTTCATTGAAGACCTGAATGAGACTATATTCAGAAATATGCAGATTTCTCTCACCAGTGCACTTAATGCTTTCCAAATGTGAAGTTAACTTGCATTAAACCCTGTTAGACCCATTACTGAGTATCAATGACTCTAAAACATGCAATGAGAAGTGCACCCTGTAATGAGCCTTGTGCCTAGAGTTTGCAAAATTTTAACTCCTAATACAGAGCATTAAATGGATGATATATTTGTGCTGATATAATCTAGAGATAAGCCTCATCTGCACTCAATTCATCATAAAATCGTTCCTTACCAAACATATTCAATTGCGTTTCTTCAATATAGTCATACATTTAATTGTTGACATGCATATTGTTTTTTCTTTTGGTTTAGAACATTCTGACCGCAGAAGCCATATCCAAAGATCATTGAGATAATGTAAGCAACAAAGGAATAAAGCAATGCACACTTGAAAAGCAAAAGAACAATAATTATGGCCAAAGTACTTAGAGTCGGTAACCGAAGATGCCTAAGGGGGCAGGTGTGATGTTTTGCAAAGAATACCAAAACATGGTAAAATTAAACACCTAGATATTTATCTCTGAATTGAAATTTTCTGTAAAATTGTTTTAACCAAGGTATCATAACTACAGACCTAACCCGTTGGATAATAACACCAAATAAGTATCAAGCATCATTTACTTAACCAGTGAATGTCCAGCATATAGAAGACATCACAATTCTCTGTTTTGAGGGACTCTTATTCTCATGTACCTTGAAATTAATAAGTACTGTCACAAGCACAACATGACACAGATGACTTTCAAATTTAGGCACACAGTACGTAATTTGTTCCATACTGTGTGCCTGAATTTCTCGCTTCACCATATATTTCAGAAAAACAGAATCAATAAGACAACACATATTTCTTACTTCAACATCTCAGCAAAGCTCATTGCCTCGTCAATTCCAGGTATAGCACCTGCTAGCTCTGAAAACAAAGAATCCATTCCCTCAGAACTCGTTTCCTCTTGTTCAACAGTAGGATCCACCTCCTGCAAAGTAGGGATAATGATAAAGAATGAGAAAAAATACTTTGCAAAATTATCATAGTGAATATCATAAGGACCTTGATTACATACTATGACAAGAGATGAAGGAAACAGTATAAAACAAAAAAGTTTCCGCCAATTATTTCTAGAGATAACCATTTGGCAAAAATTCAGATGATGTACATGCCACCGATGCATGAAAGGCTTTACACTTACATATGCTTACCAATTCTTCATAAAGCTACCCAAACAACTTAGAAAATATGTGAAATTCTACAACTGATAAAAAGCAATCCCCTTATTTTACAGAGAGTGTGTAAGAACCCGATTCTCCATTTAAAATCCATAAATAATGAAATCGATTACTTGGGCATGCTCAGATTTAATCAGAAAGGGAAAATTACAGATAAGAGACAATCCACCTATCCAAAAGTAAATCACAAGGATACAACGTAAAACAAATGATCAAGAAATGGAGTTTTACCAACGCATAGAGATTGGTAAATCCATTAACCAAAGTGGGTGTCTTCGTGAAGCGCTGCTGAAAAGCATCACTGAGATTGTGAGCAGGATCGGTGGAGATGATCAGAACCGAGCTTCGAACGCCGGCTAGAAGGATCGAAAGAATGGAGCTACAGGTAGTCTTGCCAACGCCTCCTTTGCCTCCGACGAAAATCCACTTGAGAGTCTCTTGGCTCAGTATGTTCTGCACGGTCCCCTCCGGCACCTCATCCTGATCCGCCATGGACACAGCTTCTCTTCGCTCTTTCTATCAATCTCCGATGCTTTTACAGCTGATCAAAGACCGAGAAATCTGGAAAATGCCACTGGTATGTGAGTACCCAGAAAAAACGAACGGGAAATTCAGTTCAAGACAGAGAATAGAAATCGATATTAATACAAAGAAGTTTTTGCTTGCTAGAGTTTGTTTCCAAATTAGCCGAACCAGGAAGGCAAGAAGGAGGTTCCTTACGTGAGATGTGGTTGATCCTGCATGGGGCTTGGGAGTGGCGTCTTTTTTTCATTAGTTTTGTCTGCCTCCTTGTTTTCTTTTATCTAACTATTTTCCCCCGCTAATGTTTCAACAAAGGCAAAACTTGGTGGCCAAAAAAACAAAAAGGGAAAAATATTAAAGTAACTATGTAACCGAAACTATCATGGTCTTAATGGTGAACCCTTGTGTACTTTTATAACAATAAAAATTAGTATAAAAGGGTGGAAATGAGAGCTTGCATATGTCAGGCCAAAAAACCCCACTTGCAGATGATTTGACTTTTGGCTAATCTAAGCCCCTCCATGATAGACTGACAAGTTAGCCCACTATTATTTTTTTTAAAAAATAGTTTATTGAAAGCACTAAATAAAATATGACATATAATAATATAATTATAATAATTAATAAAATTGAAAAAAAAATAATTCACGTTAGCCTATGAGTTGGTAATCTAAAATGATCTATTTTCAAGCGAGCAGCTTTTAGTGAACTTGAACCTGCAATTTTTAGCAGGTTGAACCCATAACCTGTGCAATGAGTCATATAAAACAATAGTTGAATAAAATGATATATTATAAATCTTAAGGCGCATATATATACTAATTAGTATACATTCAAGTTATTGAAATGGAGGAAGTATGAGTGCAATGATAGCAATCACAACTCAGTGAAAATAAAGCAAAGAATCAATTTGGAATGTTCGTGACAATTTGAGGTGTGTTTTGTTTGTGGTCTGAAATTTCATACTTGACATATAAATTTATTCATTCATAATTGTTGGAAAATGTCGAGTCTTGACCAATTAACATTTTGAATTCATATATCTGCAGATGATGCATGATCAAATATCACTTTGGTTATGTGCTTGTAACTCTTTATAGTTATCTGTCCTGTGACAAATTGTGAGAAGAAAACGTGTTAGTTTAGATGTTCTTTGGGAGATTAAATTTGTTGGAGTTTAGATGTTATTTAGGAAATTATATTTGTTGTAAATTTCATACTTGACATATAAATTTGTTCATTCACAATTTGTTGGAAAATGCTGACAATCTTGACCAATGAACATTTTGAATTCATATATCCGCTAGTGATACATGATCAAATCTAACTTATAGTTATTTGTCCTGTGACAAATTATGAGAAGTGATTGTGTTAGTTTAGATGTTCTCTAAGAGATTAAATGACGGAATATTTACAAATCTCCCATATTTATATTACTCTTAATTTCAATTTTCAAACAATACTCTTTCTTGTTCCATAATTTAAGATGGATTTTCTTGTCTTATAACTTGCAGATCTTAACAATAGATACTTTTGATCAAGGTAACCTTATATTATATCATAAATTTTTTTTCGATAGTATTACCAAGTAATTTAGTATATATTTCTTAGTGTTATAAATATATATATATTTATATAGAGACTAGACTTGAAAGCCTTCACCCCTTTTTTAACAAAATGCTCTCAATACACACTCAGTGGAGGGGAATAAAAATACTGATGGGCAATGGCTGAGAGATGAAAAATGGGGTCGTATAGGGCTAAGTGGAGGAAAATGGAGAGAACAACAAGTGGAAGGCCTCTGCAGTGCTGTCCACACGTGTATACATCCATAGTCCCTCCTCATAGTTGTATCATTCTGTACGTTTTTTCGTTGCTAATCCTTACCTGTTACACCTACTTTTCTCTCATTGTGCTTACCTCTGTTCATCTCTCTCACAAAAATGCTTTGATCTTTTGCTTTGACAACCAAAAAATAGAATTGTCCCAATGAATACTATAAAAATAACATCGAGAAGTTTAAACCATTCTCAATATTTGTTCTTGATAGGCAATCCCTAGAGTTCAGCACTCCAACAAACAATGGTGGGATGTATCATTCCAAATTCAACTATCTTGCTCTCAAGCTATAGTTTCTCTACTACAAACCACAACCCTGGCAATACCAAATAAATGATGACAGCTCTTATGAAGAGAAATCATCGTCTCTAATTTATCAACCTCTTTGAATGTAGAAGAGATCCAGTTGGTCTCGAGACTACTTTTTGATAGGATGTCCCTAGAGTCCAACACTCCAGTTGACACATATCATCCCAAATGGAATTATCTTGCTTCGAGGCCATATCCCATCAATACGAGTTAGATGATGATAGCTCTTCAAAAGAGAAACTCACCATCTTTGGTGTACCAATGATGGGTCAGAAGAGGAACTCTTCGATAACTGGTCAAAAGAGAAAATTGAGTCAAGATTTTCATATACCTAAGAGAAATTCGATGGGCTAAGCTGCAAAGATATAGAATGATGTCTTTCTTATCAGTGCCAAATAGGCATTAGGGTCAAACAAGGTTTATCAAAATGATGTTGGTCACCTTTTCTTATATTGCTTGCTTGGTTATCAATTTTGTTTAATTCGTCAATATTTTTGTCAGAAAACAACTTCCATTATCTTTCTAAAAATTTACTTCATTCCCATATTGAAAAGTCTAATGAAAGCACTGATTTTGTATATAGAGGGGAACTCTAAGGACAACTCTCCATATCCTTATAACTCAGTGAACAAACAACAGGACAAGATAGAACTAGTCACATTGGTACAGAAAAATATTGATGACGTTGTCAGAAACATTGATATTGAGGTTGTAATCACCAAATCTACAACATTTAGAGAACTTCACACTAATAATCAGTTGGGTCACCCTCCCACAGCTAAAATTTGATGCTATTCTTATTGAAGATCCACCAAACTTGAATTCTAATATTGCAAGACTACACATTGATCATTTTTCAAATTTGAAGGATAAACTTGCAGATATTGTGTAACATCTTAGATTTTAATTTCAAGGTTTAGTATTAATTAAGTGATAATTGGTGTGAGAAAATGACCATGAAAGTATTTCAATTTGGAAGTTTGAGCCTTAGAAACCTTAAGGATGATAATTAGAGGTTATATCTATCTGTGTTTATAAAGAAGTCTTGGTATTGGAGCATTTTAAATGGTCAAATAATAATATTTTTCAATGATTCTTTTGGTATTTGAAAGTAGACATTTCAATATTTTCAATGAACGTAATTTGCAAATTTTGAAAATGTATAGAGTGAATTGTGAATTTTTGAAGTTAGGCCACCTTACTACCTATAAATTTTTAAATAGTCTTGGTAAATCATTATTTTCAGGGTCCAATTGATAATATTTTTGAATAATTTTTTTTTCATTGAAAACTAGACATCTCAAGCTTTCCAAATTAATTATGAATTTTTAAAGTTGGGTCACTGTTGTTGTGTCATTGGCTACAATGGACACATCAAACCTGTATAATAGTCACAATTTTGAGCTAAAAAATATAAGTTTTGAAGAAGAGGTCGTGGTGGGTGCTCTTGGCTCTGCTAGGCCTTGATATTTTTGACATCTAGGAGTTTTTTTTTAGCTTTTAAACGTTAAAATAAGTATTCTTAACCTCATTTCTATCCTTTCATCTTAGATTTCTCATATTTGAGATAGTTGAAATATAGGGTTTATGATGATTTTTGAATGGGCTGAGGTTTCCAGTGAATTTTCTAAGTTCAAATGACTTATATGGACTAGATTAAAAGTTTAATCGGTTTAGTTTTATTGGATTTGAAGTTATATAGGGTTTTGAGCTAGGGTTTAATTTTTGAGTTAGGTTTTGTTAAGTTATGATAATATAGCAGTTTGATTTGATTTAATGGTTGGTTTATGCTATTTTTTGAGTTTTGAGCTAGGGCCTAATTTTTCAGTTAGAATTGATGTTTAATTAGTTTGGATTGTTGATAGAGCTTAAAATTCTCAAATGTAATTTTAAGGCTTAGAACCTAAGTGTGAAATTGATGAGGATTTTGATAAATTATGTAATTTGAGATTAATGGATGATTAAAATGAGTTAATTGATGGTTTGAGAAGTTAAGTTTAATGTTGTAATAGTTGGGTTATGGTTATCTTGAGGTTTTGGTTGTTAGAGGTTAAAGCTTCAGTTTTGCTTTGCTTAACCACTTGATTAGTTAAAGTGTTAATGTGGTTATATTATTGTGTAGATCACCATTTATGATTTGTTGGTTTGAGCACAGGGTCTGGCTTGCTTGTGGTAATATATAACTTTGGTGAAAGGTAACTACTTACCACTTGTTATGCATGCTTGTATGATGTTTGTGAGTGATTTTGAATTACATGAGATTTTCGAAATACCATTGACCTATGATTGAGCAATGAGATACATTGTTGTTTAAACTGCCTTGAGATACATTATATTATTGAAATATAGTTATGAAATTATGATTGTATAAACTTGTCTTGTGGAACATAATTTTATTGGGAAATAGTTTTGAAGATTAATGTTAATGAATGACATTAGAAATCTTGATTTTGGCAAAGTGAAAAGTTATTGCCTTATTGATAAATGATTATTATACAAAACTCATGAGTACAAATATAAGAGATGATGGTGAATTTTGATTGATGGAAGGTATATTATAGAGAAAATAAATGGGTGAATTTTATACATACTATGAAGGTAATAAGATGGTAGGACGTCAGATGCACACTAGTTGATCCTTTGGCCCCTTTTTTTTGTGTATTTTAGGACACATGACACCTTGCTAGTGAACTAGAGAGGGAGCCCATAATCCATTCTTGTAATTGTGGATTTTGGTTGGTTCATATCACTTGATTAGTAAGGTTGTTGTATTGAGTTACCAGTCACATTAGTAAGTACTGGTCCATGGATTCAATTAGAGTAAATCAAGTCAAGTTAAGATTAAAATACTATATATTGATATGTGTGTAACTATGTGACAAACGTGAATGTTATGTTCTTTTGTAATTATCCC